ATAGCTCATGGTTTGGATCATGTTTGGTGATTTTTTTGCCTTTTGCATTAAAGCACGCATATAATATCAAGGACTTACAGCATCACCTGTCAGAAAACTACCAAAAAAAAAAAAAAAAAAAAAAAAAAAACAAAAAAAAAAAAAAAAAAAAAAAAAAAAAAAAAAAAAAGAAAGCCAATCTACAGAAAGAAGAATCAGTAGAACTTGCACCTCATGTAATCAGATTGTTGTATAACCACAGATACATTTTCATGTATAGGCTTCACCGTTTGCTGCTGATTGGCTTAGTTGGGATGCTTTCATTATGCAATATGATTGGCTAACTCTGTCAATATACTTTCTCCTAACTAGGCGTCAAAATTTTGTAGTATTGCCGCTTCAAATTAGTTTATAGTACGCTCTATATCCAACAAGGTATTTTTTTATCGTTCTTTGTAGTATTGCCGTCTCAAAATTGCAACCTCTCAGTCGTGAATACGAAGGAAGCTTTCAATCGTGACCCGATACTTGGGGCGTAAAAATACCCTGCTGTGAGGCTTTAAAAGACTAAGCCGTTCCATTATTTTCAGGCAATAAAAGTTTCAGGGAGAAAAAATTAGCTTTGCTTTATTTATCTTTGACTGCAGATTTGATGAAATTCCTGTTAAAACCATAGTAGGTAAATGAATATTTCTTTGACATTTTTTTTGGCGAAAGAAGTAAAAAAACCTCAAAGGAGTGGTAGATAAATAAATGAATATGTCTTAGGTGTGAAGAAGGTTTATGAGAGGTAAAGCCGAATGCATTGAAACGATGAAAACGTGGTCATGTCTGCCGATGGCGAAGAAAAACCTGAAAGTGATGTTTAATGTATGTATTACGTCAGCTTTTGGTTATAATGCATGGACACAAGGAAACGTGGAGTCGTTGACAAACAGCAGTTTATCGAGCAAACAGCTTAACTCAATATTAGGATTACAGATTAACAACTGACGCTTTTGGCTTGACCTCTGCAAAGAAGACCCCAATCCTTGCTGATAATCCTTCAATTTTTCACATCTTGTTGTTGAAAAGATATAACATTCTCGCGGTATTAGGAGCAGGATTAGGACGCTCTATTTCAAGTAGCAATCAATGATGCTCATCTTTAATACATAAGGATGTTCCGTGACCTCTTACAGTACGAAGGAGTAGAGTTGACAGACACTGATTGCTTAAATCCATCCAGCCGAATCAAAGATGCCCCAAATTTTGTATGGTGCAAATAGGACGCTTCCATGATTTCGTCATTTGACTACTTCTGCCAAAATGATTTGCGAACTTACTTTCTTATTCAAATTTGTATTTTCCCGTAAGAATATTAAGACAATTGGTGCTAATTAACTAAATCAAAGCTAGAAAGTGTGCAAGGGATTCTGGTATTTGTAGTTGATGACGCCATAATGCAAGTGTCCTGTTTCCATTCGAAAACTAACGAGTCAAGGCCAGGTAAACTTTCAGTGACATTTTCAGTTGAAGAAAGATAAATTGAATCATGACGATTCGAAAACAGTTCTTCAAATCAAGGCGTTTTTTATTTGGATTTTGTAAGTTATCAACGTAYAAACTATAATTAATTTTGCTTCGTAAGGCTATTATTTCTCAGAAACTGAATCCTAGCTAACAGACGACAGAGACGTCTTTTTCGGATTGAACTCTCATTGATAAAGCATTCAAGAAATTCATAACACAGCCGTTTTACACATTTAATACAAATAGACCAAGGGTTCAAAGTCGTCAATTGAATAGGCTGATTATTTTACAGATCCCATCCTGTCGAGTTGCCTTATAAAGTTGGCAAACATTGCCAACTCTGTGAGTTCATTTTCAATTGATGACAATAGACTTGATAGCCTTAGGTGTCACATTCTCTCTATGCATGCATCACTAGTCTGTATTGACTTTAAAAAAAATTTGCTTGTTGACAGTGTAGCCTGATGTGGGGTTGAAGGAAAAGCTGAGTGGCATTGAAGATGAAAATCGTTGACCACTGACTGCGAGTAGTCAACAAACCTAGAGAGCTCAAAGGGGATTAAAGCTCGCGTCTTTGACTTAGTTTTAATCGAGTGCAGTCCAAATGAAGCACTTTCAATAGCTTCCTGACTCCATTTTCGAGGAAAGGAAAGGTATTTTTACATCAAATAAAACAACTAAAAGAATATTGGTGCTTAGCAAACAGGCAAGTAATGTCTATCTTTCAATTTTAATACGTTTATCATTTGAATTACTGTTTTAGATCAAATCAAAATATGTATAGAAACTTTGCTTCCAACTTTGCACTGTGTTAACCTTATTGTACGAAAGTGATTTTTACCTTCTTGCTTATCTTCTTTCTTCTTCTTCTTCTTCTTCTTCTTCTTCTTCTTCTTCTTCTTCTTTGATCAATCAACCATGCAGCTAAGTAAAGATTCAAATATTGTCTATCTTCCATTCTTAATTATAGCTTTAACATTTGACTTGTAGCTGGTTTTAAACCAAATTTATTTCTCACTTTACGACTTAAGACCTTCACTGTATGAACGAAGTTCTTCGAAGTTCTCGTTTCTTGAGTTTCCACCGCTCAAAATCGTTGTGTTATCCCTTGTATACTTGTCACACTCAAAGCAACAGTATTCGTAAACTACCACAGATAGTGTATGATTTAATACATGACCTAACAAAGCTTACCATTTAAACAATAAAAAAGCATACGAAAAATATACCAGAGATTTACTCAAATGGTATTTAACTAAATGGCCCGCGCATAACACTGATTTTATTTCCTATATCTAGATATTCCCGAGATAATTTCGCTCAACATAATTCTAACCATAGTTCGAATATCAAATGTGTCTGGAATTAATTTTTAATTGCTCTTGGATAACCCAAAAAATATTCACTTTCTTGAAACAATAAAAAAGTCATTTAAAGTAAAATTTATTCGTCCAAATTTAGTTTTCGTGCGTACGTATACTGAAAGCACGATCCATTCCTTGCTACTCTCGATCTAGGGGGCATGCATGCAAAACGTACATAAATTATATTTCAATATTTTTCGTCCAAACTGCGCTTGTTCTTGGATTCTCTGTTCTTGATCCTAGTTTGAACTTTGAATGAGATACTGGAATCGTTGTAGAATATGAGAAACAGGCTGGTGTTAAGATGTGGTTGTGTGCTATAGTAGCGTTCGTTTAACGATTCATTGATGATTGAACGATATGTCCAACAAATATTGTCTTTAATCTGAATAGCTGTTCACTCTCTTCCCTCTAGCTATATCATATCCTATACTATCAAAATCATTCAGGATTAACTAATTACTTAATGTACTTGTCTTGGTTAATGATAGAGATTGAGACACTTGTTATCTACTACGTCTGGTTCTAGTTTACATTGGTATGGCATTTGGTATAGATATGAGCTAGAGTCATAAAGATCTTCTGGATTGCAATCAAGGCATCTTAGCTTAGGGCTAGTTGACTAGCAGACCGTTAAATGACAAGAACTGCCCCTGCCTTTGAGCCACTTATCTAGGGTGTAGGGGGTCTTTCAACAATGCAGATGAGCAGGAAGTTGGTGCAGGGTTAAGTGGAGGTTTAGGGCTTTAAACGCGCACAAAATGTCTCGCCATTTAGTTTTATTGATTTGTTTTACTTAGCTTTTTTCTTTTTTCCTGTTTCCTCTTCTTTTAATTTCCCTTCCTTTATTTTCTCTTCTCTTCTCTCCTTTACTTTGCTTTGCTTTGCTTTGCTTTGCTCTCTTTCCTTTGCTTTGCTCTCCTTCCTTTCCTTTTCCTTTCCATTCCTTTACTTTCCATTCCATTCCATTCCATTCCTTTTGTTTTTGTTTTTGTTTTTGTTTTTTGTTTTTTGTTTTTTGCTTTGCTTTGCTTTCCTTTCTTTTCCTTTCCTTTCCTTTCCTTCCCTTTCCTTCCCTTCCCTTCCCTTTCCTTTCCTTCCCCGCTCTTCCCTTTCCTTCCCTTTCCTTCTACTTTCTTTTCTTTTCTATTTTTCATTCTATTTTCTCCCTGCTTCCCTCTCTTTTTCTAGTCTCCTTCTCCTCCTCCTTTTCTTTCTCTTCTCTGCTCTTTTATTTTTTTAATGGATCGATTGCTATGATCGTACGGGACCTGCTAAAGGGAAAGGTTTACCACACGGTTTCCACCACCTCTGGAAGTAAAACCCTGGACTAGTATTTTTTTCTTATTAAAAATTATCTCAGCCCTCTCTATCTTAAATAACTGTTTTTACTTCGTTTGCTTACTTTTCACCTGTGTTTTAACGATCAATCCTGATTTTTTTCGTTTCTTTTCCATCTCGATTTAGATATCATTTTCGTTGTATTACTGCCCGCATTGGATGATACRAGATGGTTATCTCCAAATACAAAGTTTGTTTCGTTTTTGTTTTCATACTTCTCAATCCCACGACACAATCCACGTTACCTCAAAGTGGCCCTAGCACAAAGCCCAGTAGTACGCCAACACACCCTAGCTTCCGTACTTGTGACAAACAAGTTTGTGCATCGCGGATCTCCGCCTGTCAGATAATGCAGTCCTGTACTTGCCAACTACCCGACTGTTCTTGTTGTGCTGACTGTACCCGATGTTTGGGTTCCCTGTGGTCTGATTGCTGTGATTGTCTTGGGCTGTGTTTGGCTCACATCAGCAGGGTGTTGCCCTTTCACGCGGTCAGTACCTTCGGAAATCTCCCATCACCGATTCCATCGCTTTTTGATGCACTGAGCTTTGGTACTAAAGGAACCGTGTTTATATCTCGTCCCCAGTCCACTATTTCTTCTACGCATTCTGCGAACGGTAGGTCCTAGCAAACTTGATACCATACATCTGAGGCCCCGTCCACACTATGCCGGATAAATTTGAATCCGAATTTTTATTTATTCGGTTAGGCCTACCGTCCACACTAGTCCGGGCGAATCCGGAACAATTATTCATTGAAAACGAATTTTTTCGAATACGGTCTCCAGAGTGGAACAATTTGAAAACGCCGGCTAGCCGTATTAGTGTGGACGGAGAACATTTCGTACCCGAAATTTTTCGAATGCGATGACGTCATGACTGTCATGGGAACATGGCGGGAAGACTAAAAATCTACCGCGGGCTCAATTTCAGCTTCGATGCGCATGCTCAGATGTACATGCTCAGATGTGCAATGAAGCGTTTTTGCCGCCTCTGATCGGACTAGTGTGGACGCGAAACATTTAATCCGTTTGTGGACGGAAAAAGGACAAATAGACCCCTTGCAATACGTCCGAATGCAACTCAATTTGGAGAACATAACAATAGATTTTCAGTTTACAGGAGGTCGAAATTCTATTTTGTTTTTGGTTCTCCTCCAAAATGAGCTGCTTTGACGTCAAATGCAATGGGTCTATTATTCAGAGCAAAGTTTTGTAGCTCTATACGCTTGTATCCATGTTCATGTGTCTTCTCGTGCTCAACCGTTCAACAAAAAAAAGGTGCTCTTGGGAATGAATTACACCTGCTCTGAAATGGGGAAAATTCGCGCAAGAGAAATTAGGTCTTTCCAGTATGTCGGAATGCAATTTGGAGGACATACCAATAGGTTTCCAATTCTCACGAGATTAAAACTCTTCACTTCATTGTTTTGTCCGCCAAATTTAATAAGACAGTTGGCGAAAGATGTAAACTTGCAGAATACGGGAAAAACCCTCGAAGTGCGGTATCGACTAATTACATTGATGATAGGGAGATCAGGGTCAGTCGAATCGTTGCCAAAAAAAAAAAAAAAAAAAAATCTCGAGTGTTTCAGTGGTGGCACTTGGTTTAGTCAGTTCAGTGATCCCTGGTTCCGACGCCTTCCCGTAATAGAGACCAGGGATTTCATACTATAGTACTCTTGCCAGAAAGATAGAGTGGTTTTCAAAAACCCTTGAAATACACTTTAGCGTATGACACTTTAATACACTTTATTGTCCGCATTTTCTTTTGGTTTCCTTTTGTGTTTTTGGTGTATTACAATTTATTACACCTTAGTTATTACACTTTGTTTCACGGTTTTCTACACAATATTATTTGTTAGAGCAGGCTGATTCAATAGACCATGCATTTCATGGATCCCGTTACTCAACCTCAGCCTCGTCAGTGTGTAATATGTTCTTTAGAAATTGCCTACAACCTGTGAAATTTTTAAGTGTTTCAATTGTTCGTTAATGTGTAAATTCCTTTCATTACTGCGGACTGTAGTCAAATTCTAAAGAATAATTACACGCTGACGAGGCTGATGTTGAGTAACGAGATCCGTGAAATGGCCTATCATTTTGGCAGCTCCTCACTGATGAGGTCTGCTATCACTCTCACACACTACCACTCCATTATATATTTACGACATACACTCAACTCACGTGTTATATTTTTTAACGAAGGCAACGAGTTCGAGATCTTAGCCCTTGACTTACGCTAGAGTCCCGTAATTTTTGGGATTTTTAATTTGCAGTCACTCCCAAGGGTGTGAAATAACAAAAGCCATAGTCGTCATGTTGGAATATCACCAAAGAATGAGGCCGCCATTTTGGAAGATATGACTAAATAACTTCATTGAACGATTTTGTCACATTTTTCCAATATCACGTCTATGTCGTTATACGCAAACAAAGATTTTGTCGTCAAATATCTAACTTCTTTCAGAAAAAAATAGCTTTAGGAATTAAGTGATCTTTTCGATGAGGTACGACGAAAATCCTTTTTCATCTTGGGAATAAGTGTAAAGTGCGATTACGCTGGCTTCCATCCAATCACGGCACGGCACGGCACGGCACGGCACGGCAGTTTCGCGTACGCATTAAATGCATATCGTTTTTGAAGATCAAAGACTCATTTGCACAGGCTTATCCCCGTTTTATCAGTCAGACAACATTGACATTTTGTGGGATTTCAAAGCATAGGTATTGTTCTGGGTATTCAAGCTGCACATTCTTTGCATCACATTTGACTTTTTAAATGGATTGCTTTCAGACGAGGGCAAGAGAACATTAAGTCTTACTTAATATTCTCTTGGACTAGGCTATAAGCCTGTGCAGATGAGTCTACTCATAAAGCACAGTCGTATTTACCGAATTAGAAAAGGGACTATGAAGCAAAGGATAGCAGAGGGAGAAAAATATTTTTGATTAATCATGTTCATCTTCATTCTTCTCCCAGCAAACGTCACGAGAAGCAGGCCTGCAGTCGTGCCTGCTCTCCAACCAGGATCACAAGTATGTAAAGTAGCTTTCTTCGACAGCTGTTGTTCTCTGGTCAAATGCAAGAAGTCTTGTCAGTCAATGGGAGCCAGTCGCTTTCGATGGTTTC